GCAAAGAAGACTAAGCATGGATACCATTATCTAGATGGCCCTTCCCTTCAAATTTTGGTCTAATGAACCCTAAACTGGCCAGCTTTTGCACTAACATCTTTTCAGCCGCTACCTAAAATGATCCAAACAAAAATAAACGATAAGAATCGACTTAAATTAAAAAATAAAGCGCGAGACAACATACTAGGGGTAAATAAGTTTGTTTTCTAAAATCAAAATGATTATCAAACGAGCTCTAATATTTCCGACATAGTTCTTCTTTTATAGATCAATCGTCACATTGATTATTTGTGTATTAGAAAAACCGAGAGGGGGAGGGTCATCAAACCTCAATCATAGGGCTGTTTTTTGGGATATTGCTAGCCAAGATGATATTTAAACCCGTCTTTAACACTAGGGAAAGAGGAAACAAAGGGATTAGTAAGACTAAGAGAAGACATGACAAAATTAGATTAACAGACATAGCTCAACTGATTAATATACAATCTTGATCTACTGGTTTAAAAGTCAAGTGGTCTCACCTCATATATCGTAAAACTAAAGAAAGGTCAAAAACTAAATTCACATATTACCTAATCGACGAGCCATGCTAGCTCCTGTATTATCAGATGAACCTCCGAGTATGGAAGTGACACTCACTGTATTGTTCTGCAAAAATTTGGTGGCAAAATATTAACGATTATGAACTAATAATATTAAACAATATGGAAGAGAGGAAACGACGAGGAAGGTGAATATAAAATACATTAAGTCACAAAAAGTTTTATAGGATGAGTTTGATATAATTTTTTGTACGATAGAAAGTACTTTAAGCTCATTAAATCCACAATAGTTAATAGTTAAGAATGATGGCCCCAAAGGAAGTGGATTGTGAAATCCTCGTCGGTTGGAGAGGAAAACGAAATATTTTTTATAAGAGTGTGGAAACCTCTCCCTAATAGACGTGTTTAGAAACTTTGAAGAGAAGTCCAAAATGAAAAGTCTAAAAAAGACAATATCTGCTTAGACTTAAGCTATTACATATATGGTTAATGTGATTTTAAAAGTTCCAACAGCTCTTTATAGAGATTCCGTCAAATCAACGAGCAACTTACGGGTCATGTGGGGGCAGCTGCGTATAAATTTCCAAATTTTGCAGCATTGCAACCAATCCATACATATATCTACACTAAGAAGAAAACATCAACAAACTTAGGTTGAGATATTTAACACAATAATGCTAACAATTGAACTAGCTGAAATGGAAAAATCCATAGGAAGGCTTAGAAAAGCCATGGAGAACCTGTTTAGAGAGAGATATTATCTGAAAATGGACGGGGACATCGTTTATGGCTTCACTAAAGCAAGAAACACGAGCACCACCACCGTCAAGGTCGCCATTGTTATTGCTACTTGGTAGCTCAGCAACTGCCTGTTCTTCTTTTGAGGTTTGAGCTTGAAATAACATTTTTATGAACCTAACACAAAGAAGTGAAAATATTGGAATACTGATCTCCTGGGAGGAAACAAAAACTTTGAGGTTAGTTTAGGGCATGGCTCTGATACCATCTTAAGAATCACGACTCTCTCCACAATGGTATGATATTTGTCCACTTTGAGCATAAGCTCTCATGGCTTTGCTTTGGACTTCCCCAAAAGGCCTCAGGCCAATGAGAGAGTATTTCTCACTTATGAACTCATACTTATAAACCTATGATCTTCCACTAAATTAACTAAATTAACCAATGTGGGACTCACTCCCAATAACCTCAACAGGCACGACTCCCAATAACCTCAACAGGCACGGGTCAAAGTAGGACTAAACCATCTCCATAGTAGACGCGTTTTAAAGCTTTGAGCTTGTGAAAGAAAAGCACAAAGTGAATAATATCTACTAGCTGTGGGCTTGAACTGTTACATGAATTTCTTTCAACAAAAAAGATTGAAACTACCTCAAAGTTCATGAGATTGAAACTACCTCAAAGTTCATGAGAGTCAGATAGAAACTCAAGAAAGCTGTCTAAACTCTTTACCTTTTCCTTGAATTCCATGCAGAACAACAAAAGGAAGGCCATGATGAAGTTCAACCATAAAATTTCCTTTTCTGTGAATTTCCAAAACGCAGCATATGATCAACGCCAAGCTACGAGTACATAATATTCAGTGAACCCCAGCTTAAAGATACATCATGTTCATGTGAAGCTAAGAGAGTCATTTATATCTCCATCAAATCAAGGAAAATTCAAAATCAATACCTTAAAGAACGATTACTCAGATAACATCGGAAAAACCTTGTGAAATCACTCAATCTTTAAAAACATTGATATAATCCAATTACTCGAAGAAAGAACAGTCGGCGAAGCAATTAGAGCAGAGTAAATCACACTACAGCAAGCGGCAAAACTAGAACAAACATGACCTAGAAACAGATTATAGCAGAAAATGCAGGAGAAAAAATTGAGAACAAACCTCGAGGAAGATTGGAATCAAAAGAGAAACCGTGAGAGAGTAAGTGAAATGGAAAGTTAATAGAGCCGAGAGAGAGAGAGAGAGAGAGAGAGAGACTTCCCAATGATACAAATTACGATCAAGGAAGTGGCATTTCTGTAATATTACTCCGAATACAGTGGCATTTTTGTAAATTTCCATGAAAGCTTTGAATTTTTTTCATTGGTGAAAGAAACCCGTCTCCCGCGTCTCCCCATTTTCTGATTCTCTCCTTGTTTCCCTATCTCGCCCATTCCCGCTGTTCGGCCGGAACACAAAATCGGATCTCTGCTGAGCTTCTCGATTTGGCATTCGATCAGTTCATTCTAGTTGGTACGTGATTTGTTTCGAACAATCTTGCGCGGTAGGATGTTTATATCTGCTTTTTGTTCTACTGAATCTCATAGGCAGTAATGGCGTAGCACATAAGGAATTTATTCACATTTTTTGTGATCTTGATTGCCATAACCAGAGAAATGAGTTCTTGTAAAGTAAAAGAAATTTTGTTGAATCAGGTGTTTTCAAATTGCTTGATTTGTTCATTCTTTAGAAATATGAAGGCCTCTGCTACTAGAATCCTTCGCATGGTAAAAGTTCATTACCTCCTCATTTGGTTCCACCCAGTGATGCAAATTTTAAATCCGCCGACTACATTTACAGGAAAATAACCACACCCTGGGCGGACGACGAAGCAGGAGCCGGAATCAATCATCAACGGCAGGATCTTCAAAGTGTGGCAAGGTTGGAAGAAGGAAGAAACAATAAATGGCTCTTCCGTCATTGCAAATTTACGAGATTCTTATCTATCAGGCAAACAGTTTCATATCACTTTTAAGTTCAAATTAACCAATCTTTTGCTTATGAGATAACTGAAATAAGTCTGAATGAGATGATTGAAAATTGTGGAAATTTCTCAATCACAAAGTTCGTTCAAACTCTTCCCAGCCATCAACCTTTTTTTTCTTCTTTTTTCGGAACCCAAAACTGCAAATTCAGGGGAAGGGGGAGAGAGAGAGAGCATAGCCATTCATAATTATTGCTTGACCGTATTCACAAATCTCTCAAAAAGAGAGAGCTGGCAGTTACAGTCTCTTACAGCCATAGCCATAGCCATAGCCACAGCCACAGCCACAGTGTTAAAGATATTTAGTAATAAATTATAGTTTACCATATATATTATATTTGATATTTTATTATAAGGCAAATATTAGATATTTGCCTTATTATCATAGGTATCTTTCCATTTATTATTATTTCCATTTATTACTATTTTCATATCCTTGTAATTTATTTGATTATAAATAAGATAACTTTCACACCATTTAGGTGTGGTGGATTAATCAAACATTCACATGGTATCAGAGCCCTCTCGGTTTAACAACCCCGATTCTTTCTTTTCAATGGCTTTTGAATCCTCTAATCTTCTTCTCCACCACCCCTGCTGATTTTGACGCCGCAGGGGCAGTCTTCATGGCTGCCGTAGTCGGAGCCGATTGATTACTCTTCGGCTCCACCCTATTGACCTCCAAATCACCTTTCGTCATACTCTGTACATACAACCTCACCTTTTCCAACCCAATCGGTTTTTTCCCTTGGCCAATATAGTCTCTCTCATTTTCTTCCCAATCAACCTTCATCCTTCACATAAACCTTAACCTAAACCTATCAATCTTTTGCAGAGATTTACCTTCGGAATTTGGGTGCCGCACTGGCCTATTCGCCAACTAAGTTGTCGCCGCCCTTCCTGCCAAAATTGGCTTCTTCGCCCGATGAGGCGACTCTTCCGACTGCCCTTCTCGCCAAAATTGGCTCCTTCGCCCAATGTGGCGACTCTTCGGCTTCAACATTGTCTTTGTCCCTNTTGCAGAGATTTACCTTCGGAATCTGGGTGCCGCACTGGCCTATTCGCCAACCAAGTTGCCGCCGCCTTTCCTGCCAAAATTGGCTTCTTCGCCCGATGAGGCGACTCTTCCGACTGCCCTTCTCGCGAAAATTGGCTCCTTCGCCCAATGTGGCGACTCTTCCGGCTTCAACATTGTCTTTGTCCCTTGCTCTAGGTTTCCCCTTCTACTTCTTGGGATTAGAAATATTCTCACCAGAGTCAAGGCAGCATCGTCGCTAAGCGGCAATCCCTCTTCATGGGTTAGACATATTCTCACCGAAGCCAAGGCAGCATCGCCGCTCCCTCTGCAATTTTTGATGGCCAAGAACCGGGTTGTTAGCATCTTCATGAAAAGTGTTTCTCAACCTCTTTAAATTTTTCTGATTCAAGCTTCACGTTCGTTTAAATCCGACGCTTAGCTTGCGGTGGGGTGTTAAAGATATTTAGTAATAAATTATAGTTTACCATATATATTATATTTGATATTTTATTATAAGGCAAATATTAGATATTTGCCTTATTATCATAGGTATCTTTCCATTTATTATTATTTCCATTTATTACTATTTTCATATCCTTGTAATTTATTTGATTATAAATAAGATAACTTTCACACCATTTAGGTGTGGTGGATTAATCAAACATTCACACACAGCCATGGCCTTCAGACAGCAGCAAAACGCAAGTATCCCTTCTTGGAAGGAAGATCAAGAGTTTCAAAGCCTTGAGGGAACATTTGCTTGGCCTGATCATTAGTTACATTGGGCGGAATCACGCAGGCCTCGCCTGGCTTCCAGTTAACTGGAGTGCAAACCTTGTGCTTTGCAGCCTTCTGCAATGACTCCAAAACCCTCATCACTTCCTCCATGTTCCTCCCTGTACTTGCTGGGTACAGGAAGCTCAGCTTCACCTTCTTGTCTGGACCGATGATGTGCAATGCTCTCGATGGCACTGCCCTGCCTGATGAGTCCTTCTCGTCCGGGTCCACCATGTTCAGTTCCTTGATCAACTCCCCCTTTGGATCCGCCAGTATTGGATATGTCACCTTCTTTCCCCATGTTCAGTTCCTTGATCAACTCCCCCTTTGGATCCGCCAGTATTGGATATGTCACCTTCTTTCCATTCTGCAAAAGGATAATAAGATTGGTTAGGAATCACGGACCTCTATATACTTGAGAACTCACGATCATTTACCGATGTGGAACTCCCTCCCAACCAATTCTCAACAATCCTCCTATCGAAGAAAGTACACCATAATAGAGCCTCCCCTGAGAGTACACCATAATAGAGCCTCCCCTGAGAGTACACCATAATAGAGCCTCCCCTGAGAGTACACCATAATAGAGCCTCCCCTGAGAGTACACCATAATAGAGCCTCCCCTGAGAGTACACCATAATAGAGCCTCCCCTGAGTTCTACGTAGCCCTCGAACCACCTCCCCTTAATCGAAGATCAACTCCTCGAACCATCCTCAACAATTCTCCTATCGAACAAAGTAGACCATAGGGCGACTTCTGGGGGAGGATGGAGGCTCCTTAATCGAGGGCTCAACTCTTTATCTGGAGCTCTTGGATTCCTCGAACGATCCAAGGCATAGATTCACTTTTGTCTGCACTTTCGAACCTAGCAATTTTGTCCTTCGTTCGGGGCATAGTCACTTTTGTCTGCACTTGTGAAGCTAGCAATTTCTTTTCTTTGTTCGGCTGAATGATTCTATTGACATGCTACATGAAATGCATGGCTCTGATTCTATATCGAGAGCCACAATAGTATATACTATTGTGGAGTTTTAAGTATAAAACCAAAAGACCTTGATATATTCCTACCCATGATCATCCTCTAAATTAAGGAGGCTCTCCTAACCGATCCTCAACAAGATCCATTTTAAAAGTTCCCCCAACACTTCCCTCCCTAGCGAAACCAAATAAGTGAATAAAATCATGCAATGTTCAGAAAGAAAGAGAGAACAAGAACTCACATTGTAGGCTTCGATATCCTTGATCCAATCGGTATGAGATTGAACATCATCACAAGACAATCCTATGAGCTTCACACCTCGTTGAGCAAACTCCTCTGCCTGAGCAGCGATCATCCCCAGCTCCGTAGTACAAACTGGAGTGAAATCACCTGCCACCAAGACCGTTCATCAATATCTATTACCAAATTCAAGACAACAACACGGCCAAATGGGTACCTACCTGGGTGAGAGAAGATGATGGCCCAGCTGCCGTCGATGTAGTCATATAAACTGATCTTTCCATGGGTGCTATCAGCTTGAATGTTGGGCACTGTATCGCCGATGGTAAGGCCTGGCATCTTCTTCCTACAGAAGGATGGTTCAAATTTGAAGTTTTGGTGTTCTGATGTGCGATGTTGTTTCTTCGTTCCAGTATTTATGAAGTTTCTGGCATTCTCTTGGCTTGCTGCATGAAGCGAACGTGGCGGCTTTCGTGTCTATTGATGGCATGTTGCATGCACTTTGACGAAAATACATTACCTCTTTGTCTCTCAGCATGCAGCCACGTTCAGTTAACCTTTCCAGCCTGCCACCCTTTTTTTCAACTATCCAACACAAATATGTCAAGTAATGCACTTTAGTGAGCACGACACGTGGAGTATTGTTCACATTAGCTTCGTTGACAATGGACGTAGGGGAATGTTAGAAAGGGGACGGAATATTGTCCACTTTGAGGATATGGTTTTGTCCTTCTAAAACAAAACATACTATAGAATCTCCTCTGAGGTCTGTAGAGTCTTTGTATAGCTTCAAAATCTATCAAGGCTCGACTTCTTCTTTGAATCCCTCGAACAAAATACACTCTTTTTTCAACACTTGAATCATTTTTTACTACACCTTTGAACTCACAACTTCTTTGTTTGAAGTGTTGAGTTAAAGGCATAACTGACATTATATTAGAAATCACGATCTCATGACTTTACTTTTGGTTTCCTCAAAAGGCGTATCATACTAATGAAATTTATAGGTGAAATCTGTTAGGAATCACTGTTATCCACAAAAATATGATATTGTTCAATTTAAGCATAAACTTTTATGGCCTTGTTTTGGGCTTTATTAATAGGCCTCGTAGCAATAGAGATAGTATTCCTTGATTCATACTAATGGAGATAGTATTTCTTATTTATAAACCCATAAATCAAATGAAAAAGGTCGGAGAGAAAATGGGCCGATAATCCATGGGCCTAACTAAACGCGTCACAATAGGCCCACTGTAAAAAACGGGTCGACCCACGTGTAAGGGTCCGAGTCAAACCCGTACCCGTAATTCTACACAGAGCTCAAATTTTCACAGCGCTTGATAAGAGCGGTCGTTCCGCTCGCTATTGGACGTTCGAGATTCGAGCGTAAACCATCACAAATGATCCTGGCCCTCCATTTTATCAATCGGTCCTTTCCCGTCGTCTAAATGCTAGACTAGGACTCTGGATTTGGTAACACCTCCATCTCCATTAGCCCTAGCGCCTCAAAGTCACTACGAATCTCTTCCTTGTAGAGCCTTTCCGTTCGTTCGATTGAGCGATTGAACGGGAAATTGTTTCCTTTAATTTTACTTCTCTCGTCAGGTCTGGGCGGGGAAGGAGAAAAATAATCGGAGTTCGGATCTTCATCGAGGTATATATAATTTTTTGTTTTGATCACCTTATTTTGCCTTTTATCTTGTTGCATATTGTTCTTTTTTGTTTGCAAATCATTTGTTTGTTGGTTTTGATTTTTACTTACCCTAAATGCGCATGCTTTCTGTTTCTGTAAAGATCATTGGGAAAAATTTGAAGATTGAATGAAAGAATTAAGTTTGGAGGTAATTGTTTGATGGTATTATTAGAATGTTAATTTAGTGTATCGAGAATTCTAGCGTTTCAGTATCTTGGAAAACTGAACAAACTTGGTGTTGAAATGGAATTTTGTTCTCAATTTTTGGTCTAACTTTTGCTTATAAGTTTGTATGTTTTTTTTTTTTTTTTTTTTTTTTTTTTTTTTTTTTTTTTTTTTTTTTNGAATTTTGTTCTCAATTTTTGGTCTAACTTTTGCTTATAAGTTTGTATGTTTTTTTTTTTTTTTTTTTTTCAGTGGGTTCAAGGATGCTAGCTTTGTTTGTTGAATACTGACTTGTTTGTGATTAATTTCTCTCTACCTTTTGAAGTCATGGAAACTGGGGAGTCTGCTCCCCCTTACCTTGGTCCTCGCTATGCACCGGACGACCCTACTCTTCCCAAACCTTGGAAGGGATTGATTGATGGGAGCACTGGACTGTTGTACTACTGGAACCCTGAAACCAACGTTACTCAGTATGAAAAACCGGTCTCTTTGCCACCACCATTACCACTCGCTCCTCATTCTAGTGCCTCTACTTCCAAGCCTACTTCAATCCCGGAGGGTCATTCAATGCCATCAAATGGCACACTAACCCCTCATGTACAGCAAAATCATCATGTCCCTCAACAGGAAGGCCAATCAAACAGCCAGCTTTCTCAACAACCTGGACATCTGATGTCACAACAGCACAGTTCTGTTGCAGATCAGGCAATTGTTAATCACCATCCTAGCATGCAAATGGCACCAGATGGGCGACAACATAGCGTGCAGCCGAACCAGGTTTTGCAGCAACAGGGGATGTTTCCGATATCGTCGCAGCATATTAGCCAGCAGCAGGTCATGCATCAAGGTCAGAAAATGGCACATGCTAATCAACAAATATCTCAGCATCCTAACCAGCAACCTCTGCAGAATCCAGGCCAACAAATACCACAGCCCTCAATCCAGCATTTAGGACAGCCAAACATGCAAAATCAAACCCCATTAGTTGGCCAGCCTCAAGGTCCGCAATATGGTCAGCAGCAGCCTCAGTATATGGGTTACCAGCAAAGCGTACATCCAAGTGTGCAGCAAGTTCAACAGAGCCCTTTAGGACAACCATTTGGTAATCACCTTGAGCAGAAGTCAGCTTTTCAGAAGAGAGAGGAGGACAAGATCCAGTCAGGAAACCAAATTGGATTTTCTACTTCCCAGTTTCAACAAAGTGGTGGTACATCATCTATTCATAGTGTTCATCCTGGAACCAATTCTTCTCAAATGCAACAATACGGTTTACCTTCTGATCAAGCACGACAGTTTGGTGGTTCTCCAGGAAACATGCAACAGCCGCATCCTGTGGTTCAATTGCAGCATTCAGGTACTGAATTGACTCATCGCCAACATCATTCTAGATTCCAAGATCCAATGGGCCCAGCTGCGATGCAGGAGAAGCAAACTGGTTCTGAAAATTTGCCAGGCAGAGCTGGAAATGAATATTTCTTTGGCAGGAATGAGGGGCCTGGAATTGGTCCACATCAACCAAGGCTTGCAGCAATACCAATGGCAAGGAGCCAGCAGGTTCTTGATTTTTTTTTTTTTTTTCTTTTTAACTATGACAGAACCATGGGCACACAGATTTATATTTTTGCATATTTTAAGATTTGTGCATGTTAAAAAAAAAATTAAATGGGCACTGGTATTTTGGGAAGATGTTATAACATTGAAGAGATGTCGTTAGGTACCATAAAGTTTTATGAAGGAGGTTATATGTGGAAATGGATTATTAAGGGAATCAATAGGATATGATGGTGTTATTTACTCTTTTCCTTGTCCATGTCTTAGATTTAGGTTAAGATAATTTTTTTTCTTTAAATATTATGCAAGAAACAACACTTTCATTGAGAAACATGAAAGAATACATGAGGGCAGGTTAAGAGAAACGTTGTATCAATTTACTAAATATTTCGGTTCTCTATGATATAGTTTTTCATATACATATGCGTACTACCCTTCTTTCAGGATACAAGGATGAGTGGTGTCCCATTTCCAAGTGTGGCACCCGGTCATCCTAGTGGAACAAGTTTTGCAGCCGGGCAATCACATAATATGTACAACCATGGGTCTGGTGGTCCATCATTGTCAAACAATGCTTTGATGGGCCCTCCCCATATTGGAGCTTCAGATGTTACTAATATGTCACCTGTTGAAGTTTATCGTCAACAGCATGAAGTAACTGCCACGGTTTGTATTTCAGCATGTCTATATTCTCCAATTATGTGTGTTGTGAATGCTATAGGGTGTTATAATTGTATCCCTGGCTACCAATCGTGTAGGCAATATTCTATGGGAAAATTAGTGTGAAATTGTTGAGCGTATGCAGTATAATGGAGGTTGAAACATCACCAAATGGAAATAGAATTTGTGTGACTGATTTTATTTCATTAGACGTGCTCTGTATTTTCAATTTATAGTAGTTGAACTACTATTCTTTTTGGGCGTAATAACCAGTTCAATTAACTGTGCAGGGTGATAATGTTCCAGCTCCATTCATGACATTTGAGGCTACTGGCTTCCCTCCGGAGATACTGAGAGAGGCAAGTTTATGCTTGCCCAAACTTCTTTTATTTGGTTTGCGTGAAAAAACAAATCCATGATCCTGTTTACTCCTTTCTTCTGTTATTAATGTAGTTTTTACTCATGAGTTCTCACTTGTCGCAGGTGCGATATCTGCTCCGGAGGAGGAGCATATGTCGTACGCTGCACTGCTATTGCTACACTTGCACATGCAACAACCCCTTGTTTTTTGGAGGCTGCAAAATGGATGGTTGGAGCCTTTCTAGGGAATCTTTTAGTAGAGTGTTGGCCCTTTGACCAAATCACACCTGATGTGACTGAGATGTCTTGCTTATTGGCTCTGCTTAATATGTCTTTATTGCCATCTTTTGTTGCCTCGAGTTGCTTCTGTAAGCAACTAATCTATGGGTTTTTTTGTGCTATTTCATTTTTGCTCCTGTAGAACACTGTATTTTTGTAATGTATTTCAACATGAATGTATCTGGCATGTTCTAACCTTGGCGCTGAGTCTATATTTCCATCTTTGTGCCTCAGATATATTCTGCTGGTTTCTCATCTCCCACGCCAATTCAAGCACAAACATGGCCGATTGCCCTGCAAGGTAGAGACATAGTCGCAATTGCTAAAACAGGGTCTGGAAAAACTTTGGGCTATTTGATTCCTGCTTTCGTTCTTCTAAGGCAGTGCCGAAATAACCCTCAAAATGGACCAACGGTGTTGGTTTTGGCTCCTACTAGGGAGCTTGCTACTCAAATACAAGATGAGGCAATTAAATTTGGGAGGGCTTCCAGGATTTGTTGTACCGTGAGTTTCAAATGTTTACTTTTTTGAGTCCTTGAATCATTTACTTCTGCTTCCCTTTTTTGTGTACTTTCTCCATTTTGTGTTAAAATTCTTCCTTATTTCAGTGCTTGTATGGTGGTGCTCCAAAAGGTCCTCAGCTTAAAGAGTTAGATCGTGGGGCTGATATTGTTGTGGCAACTCCTGGCCGACTTAA